CTCGGCGACTGGCGCCCGGCGGGGGGCCGAGGGCCCGCCGGGCCCCCACGGCCATCTCCTCTGCTGTTGCATAAGGAGGCATCGCCCAGGCGCTGTGGGCCTGCCTCCTGCTACCTGCCTTGGGTGCCCTGGCTGCTGCCTTGGAAGGTTCAGCACATAACCTTTCCCTCCCCTGACCTTTTCCCGTGCCACCCACCATTTCATGGGTTACCGTCATCAGTCTTCTCAGTCATCTCTGTGTTCAGAGCTGAAGTGTATCAGTCTGCTCCACTGTTCCTGAGAAGGGATCTTCCATACCTTTGATCAGCCCCATTTCATCTCTGTATGGTTCCCTGTTCTGCTTTCACACTTTGAAATGTTACCTATAAAATTTGAGGTGCAGATTCAACATAAAGTTCATTTTTCCCCTCTTTTTTTATTCTTGCTTCTGAACAGTCATCTCAGCTGCCCATTTTAGTCCCAAAATACCATGCTAGGATCATGTTTTCCTCTGAATCGATAAATACAAAGTGTTACATTGCATTTCATTTGTCTTTAGCTTACTTTAGTGGGTTTGAAATGCTTTTGTCTGTTTTCTGTTTATTATCTTAGGCCTATTGGGAAGGCCTTTTAATGTTCAAACCTACAACAATCTGTGGATAGATCCAGTAGTGCTAGTCATCACACTAGTTTGTTTGCATTACTGCTTTGTGAGGAAAGCATAGTATGGCACATTTATTTGCTAGGGTAGCAGATTCTTTTCAGAATCTTGTCCATGGTCAGGCAGGTTTAGCTTACATTGACTCTGCTGCTGGAATATTTAAATTTACTGTCCTGTGTGAAATGTTTTTGGATTATCATATTTATTCTGATCTCATTCTTTAGGATCCTTCTGGTGATCCATCGCAACAGGAAGCAAAACAGAGGTATAAATGAGAACTGTTGACTTTTGCTCTTAAATCAAACTGTTTTGAACCGTTTACTTTTTTTGAGTATTTAATTTCTTTGGTATACTCAGCTGAATTTTTTTTGTTGTTGGAAAAGCCACCAACAAAGAAGCTGAAATGTCAAAGATTTAATCCAAGGATAGGTACAATCTGATGGATCTGAGTGTGGCTCCCACGCCATGACTATATTGGATGATCTACAAAAGAGCTGTCAGGCAGTCTGAACCCTGAGTGGCTGGGCGGGGCATGTGGAGGAAAGATGTAGTTTGCTGTTTTGTGCATATTATTTTAGGTGTTTGAAATACCACTTTTAATGTGTGGTTAATTTTTCATTACAGGGAAGCAGAGATAAGAAATACGATTTTAGCTCAAGTTCTTGATCAAGCAGCTCGTGCAAGATGTAAGTACCCAAGTCATTTTCTAATTAAAAAAGCCTCATCTAGTGTACTCCAGTGCTGCTCAAGTCAAGCACGTACATGGTTGTATAGAGGCCAGACTAGAAAAATGTTGCTGTCAATGGGAAAATAAAACTGTTACAGCTTTTCAGTTGGTAATATCAGTGATTGGAGGGGAGGGGTTAACTGACATCTGAATTATGTTAATCAATTTTTCTTTTTAATTAATAGTAGGAATTATAGTGAGAGTCAAAATTAGTCAATCTAATTAGGAGCAAGTATTAAAAACAAATACAACTATCTTGTACCTTTATTTTATATACATGAAAATTTCTTTTTCAATTTATTTCATGACCCTGGCATGAAGAAGACTTTCACAGGGACATTTGTCACTTTTTAGTTACTAGTGAAGATATTTGAGTATGTTTTAAAACAAAATGAACAGAGCCTGTTTTTGTTGCAGTAAGCAATTTAGCTCTTGTGAAACCAGACAAAGCAAAAGCAGTAGAGAATTACCTTATACAGATGGCAAGATTTGGACAGCTAGCTGGAAAGGTGAGTTATGTTTTCTACTTCTTTCTTGTATATATTCATTTTCAAACCTAATTCACTCTTAAAAAAATGGATGTTTTTAATATCTGTAAATTAAATAACTGAAAAAGGCAACTGAGAATTTCTAAATTCTATTATATAATTCCATCAAACACCCTTTATAAGAAGGGAAAGTGTGATTCAGTTGTTTGATACTAAGCATCTCTCAGAATGTGTTTATATGGCGTTTCTTTTGCTTTCCTAGGTATCGGAACAAGGTTTGATAGAAATACTTGAAAAAGTGAGTCAGCAAACAGAAAAGAAAACAACAGTAAAGGTAAGCGTCATTTCCTAAATGTAATTTTGTTACAAAATGTAGTAGAAAAATTGGATGTATTGGACCATTTCAGTTCAGGGTAGAACTTCGTGTTTACCACCTCTCTTACCTACACTGCTAAGTACAGGGATTAAATCATAGCAGTCCTTATCAGTAGCATAATTTGCAGATAATAGCACTTGGGTATCAGTGTTCTGTTGTGAGACAGGCTACCCTGTGTCCCCAAGGAGGAGACTTGGGAGAGTGGATTGAATGTTCTGCTCGCATGTAATGTATTCATTGTCACATGCGTCGAGTTTGAAAGGCTTGCTCTGTTGGATTTACTGTGACCCTTCTATTTTCACCTCATATATTTCAATTTTAGTTCAACAGAAGGAAAGTATTGGATTCTGATGAAGAGGATGATTACTAATACTACTGTAAGACTGTCTGCCAAACAAAGGCCTGGAGAAGGCAAGATACTGTTATCAGGCAGAATGTAAGATCTGAAAATGTTTACGCTTTTTTTTTTTTATGAAAAGGCCACCAAATGAACTTCTCTTGTAAAATAAATCTGCGAAGGGGATTTTGTAACTTAAATTTTTGTAGTATAAGAGGCCTGAACAGCGTGGCGTTCCCCACTGCTTTGTTAGCATGAACATTTTGTTGCCCCTTACTCTGTGTGTAAGCTATGCTTTCAGCAACTGCACACTTAACTTGCTGCTATTGGAGATACCATAACATGAGGATGAGCTAAGTGTAAAGCTGGGAACAGCCACTCCCTCTAGGAGTTTAAAGACTTAACCTCCAGGCTGTAAATGACAGGAGTGTTAGAAATGAGATTTCCTGAGCCCCTCAAGGAGGTCTATCCAGACTCACTGGCTCTTGAGTACTTACTGGAAATTTGAAGGTACCAAAGTAGTGTTTGGATCAGAGGACTTCATATCAGGCAGTCTGTGTAAAGAAATTGTAACCAACATACAGCTGAACTGTTCCCCTGTGAAATAATCAAGCTATCTCAAAAAAAGCAAGTTAACTGTGTAATACAGCACTGTTTAGACACTTGATATCGTATATTCTTAAAACTACCTCCATTTTTATTAAATGGCTGGAGTGTTTCTTACCTTGGGGAAAAAAAAAGGACCTTTTTCCTAAACTTTCTGCAACTCCTGCATGCATAAAGTAAAACTGACTTGTGCTATACGTTAATTCAAAAATATGGTTATGGAAATATGTAGGATAAATACTGTAATGTGCCAATAAACACTCTACCACCACAAAACCCTTTCTGACATAATTTAACAGGAACATGTATGATCCCAACTGCAGTGTTTTTTTGGAACAGAATAAAATCGTTTAAAGTGAGCACTAGTGGGTGTTTTTCATCTTGTGTGAAAAATAATTTAAACAGTCGGTTTTGTTTTATTTGGACTAGACTGGGCATTTTGCTTGTCTATGTTTGTAATTAGGGTTCCATAAATTTAGCAGTACGGTTGGTTAAATGTCTTTAGACTGATGACCCTTTACCGGTGTGAAGAGTTTCAAACCAAGGTGTGGTGATAAATGGTTTAGAAGTTTTCCTGTTAGGAGTACAGATAAACCCTAACCATCCACGCTTCACATTCTTATTCCAAAGTTTATAAAATTCTACTTGTAACAACATAAGCTTTATTGCCTTGCTGTTCTAAAATGACTGTTCCAGAATCTCAGTTGTCAAAATTGTGAAGTAATGCTTTGGATTGATTTTAACTTACAAGCTTTTGGAGATTAAACTAGACTGTACAGTAACATGCTTTGCAGACAAATTGTAAGTGTCATGAAGTTGACTTCAGTATATTTGCACTACAGGTTGCTAGGGGAAGCTTCCAAGAGTACTCCCTTCAAATTCTACCCCAATGTAGCCTTTGATCATCGTATCTTTGAATATTATGGTATTTTTAAATTGCAAGCTCAATTAAGCATGTCAAAGGAAACTTGCGAACTATTTAACTTACCTAAGTAATTTGTTAGTCATCATCTTTCCATCATTTAAATTATAGTGGATTGTTGGGCATTCAAGTGGGTTTTTTTGTAATATACATCCAAAATGCCTGGAAATAAGCTTTATCCTAGACTGAACACTGAATAAAACTGAAGCATGTTTCAGTCACTAAAGTAGCCTCATGTTCACAATGACAACTGTTCTGATACTGTAACAGAATAGAAAACTCAGATTAATTCTCATAAATTTGCACTTTCTCTATAAAACTCTAAAGAAAAAAATATTCTCATGTCAGATGTCTTAAAATAGGGATTTTGTTAAAAGATACAGTAGGCAAGATGCAGCAAGTCTGCATTGCCTTACCAAGCTACTATGTGGGGTTTTCTGCAAATTGTGTATTTCAAAGGCAAGCGCTACTTTAACACTTAGCCAATTCTTAAATTTTAAGAGTAAAATGTAACCAATAATTATATAACCATTCATATCAAAGCTGAAACTTGGGAGTGTTGCAAGCTGTGTCATCGCTTGCATAGAATACCACAAAATACCTTATGTTTAAAATGTAACAGTATCGAACAAGTTGTTTTCCTTAACTTGTTGTATTCAACATTTGTTTTTAATAGAAAAAAAGCAAGTATCTAAATTCAGAGTTCACATCCTCCGATACTTATTTCTAACCCTTTTCAAAGGTATTTAATAAGCTATCTTAAAATTTGTTTCCAAAGCTATTCAACCACACTATGCTTGAACTTAGTGTCACTGTGCTAACCTATGTTCTGTAGTATATTCTGTACCTATCCCCTGTAGCACATTATCACTGGTATTAAAAAGCTAATAAACTGATTTTTCTCATCTATATTGTCAAGAAGTCTTAAGACAAGAATCATTTAGTTAAATGCATAGTAGAATTAAAACACAAGCAAAATTCTCTTTATGTAGTTTGGAAATGAGATCTATGAAAGTTTACTTTTACCTTAAACTTTGTAAATAACTTCTAGGTTATTTTTGCTACAGGTAAGGATAAGTGACTTACTGTAGGTTACCTTTATACTGCCACAAGAAGCAAAAAACTCATTCATATCTCTTTCCTCTTGGTTATTGGGCTTCTAATAGCTGAACATCCATCCTACTTTTTTTCAATGAAATGTAGAGCTAGAGAAGGAAGTTATGTTCCATTTCACTAACAATTCTATATTGTATACCTCTATGCTTTAAATCCAAACCCACACAACCTAATAATAGTAAACCAAGAATGCAGGAGGGAAGAAGGTCATACTGAACTTGAGAGTAAATTCCAACAGATCCCTCAATTTACACACAGACACAAGGTGACGTCTTCAAATGCCTACAAAAACAAAAGCAAGGAAATCTGCATAAAAGACTCAATGCTTTGAAAAAAGCACTCAAAGAAAATGGCACTTTCAAGAGTTATTTTACTATTTTTTTTTTTCCATCATTTGGCACAAATCCAAGGCACATCAGAAAATCAGATGAACTCATAAATTATTAGAAAAATAAACACATGACCCTCATCTCCAAATGTCAAGTATGTGCACTTACTGCACATTTTACCTCTTAGATTAAAAAGTTACTTGAAAAAAATCACCAGTATGTCTTCCAGCTTTGTACTTTGCCAGGCAGTTTAGTAATACCACAGTTAAAAGAAACAGAATTATTCATACAAATAGTTTATGAAATAAAATGCAAGCTGCATATGAGCCAAGAATAAAAAATACTGCACTTGGAAACCTGGCTTGTGCTGCTTACACATTCTCCTACCATAACTGAAACAGCAGAAAATGTTATGTGCAAGCTTTCAATTTGCCAGTGATCACCTCTAGGAATGGGGTAATATTTGGCCTATTCCTACAAATGCTTACTGAGAAGTACCTTTTGCAATTGGAATTTCACCTTTTTGAAGAGCAGTCCGGAGCAGGCTCCTAAGCAGCAGTTTTGTCTGCAGATGATTCTGAACCTGGGCAACATGAACATTTGTGCATTTTTGCATGACTTGCTTTAGAGGAAGGAAAGAAAAAAAAAAAAACACAAACCCAATTTAAGCCAATTTTGTGTGTCATTACACATGCTTCCTTCTGCATATTTTTTTTTATTAGGCTGCGAACAGTAAGTCCAACGTTCAGCTTTGTCAAGGGCACTCTACTTTTTCCCAATATCTTGGCTCTTGTGTAAGAACTTGATCTTGCCGACCCAATGCAGGGGACCATTGCAAAAAAATCAGCAAGGATGACATCCCTTCACATTAATGGCATGTATAAATTTCTAATGCAGTGTCTCAGATGTTACAGACTATTGTTTTCCCAGCTACTGAAATATACAGAAATATACACTATAATGGTTTGTAACATTACAATAAAAATAGAGACATTTCAGTTACCTCTGGCAATAAATATCTTGTTATCCAATATACTTTTATATATATAAATATATATATACTTATCCACTGTGGTGATAAAAACTGAAAATGCAAAAATTATTCAAAGACTTTTAAAAACAAAGTGGGTGGCTGAAAAATACAATGCAGGGTTTGGTTTGGTTTACTGTTAACATACGATTTTTTAATAAGTGCTAAGTAGAATAGGAAAGTAATTTTGCTGTCTCCAACTCAGTACATCCCTGTTTGAGACCAGTAATCATCTGGCTGTGTAGTCACCTCCAACATACACAGAGGATTCAGTCTTCGAAAGCACTAGGAACATTCTGTTTCTGCTGAAGAATCATCCTTGTGTTCTGTTCTGAAGGCACGCTTGCAAGCATCACTGAATTCTCCGATGCAGAGCGAAGGGTTATTGAAATTAACACCACCTAATTCCTCAGCTTTTGACATCAAATTCACACTTCCTAGTTAATGTTTTGAAAGCAAGTCATCACAGCAGTCTCTTGATTGTGAAATACATGGATTTCTAGGGCTGGATAAACTAGTATCGCTGATGTTCTCTGCTGGAAGTGGCACATTAACAGTGTGTCTTCGGTGCATTAATTTACTCCTGTGAGGAACTTCTATCACGTCATCATGTTTTACAAACTCACCGCTGCATCCTGGGTCGATAATCTTAACTTTGCTCTGGTCCAGCGTTTCAACAGATTTTAACTTGGTTTTATCAAAGCTTTTAATAGCTAACTGTGAGGATAGAAAATGGTACATTAAAAGCATTGCCTACTTTCTTCATTACAAAGAAGTAAAATGAATATACTGTTTCTTGAATATAATTATCACATAAATTTCATAGTATTCTTTATACTGAGAACACAGACAAAGATTAAAACTGGCATACTTTGTAGGACAGTAGTTCTGTTTGGTCTACATATGAGAAAACAAGAAGTGGCCAACCTGTCCCAGGCTACCTGTGAATCGGTACCAGGACTGAAAAGATAATGCAGGCATTCCAAAGCTTATTTTCACTGCACTGTCCCAGTATCACCCTAACTCTTCTGAACACCTTTTGTAAGGTGTTTGCAGGTCTCAAGGTACTTGAAATTAACAGCCATTTCTTTTCACCATTAAGAAATGTGTAAGTAGTAATACAGACAGGCTCCATCAGGCAAAGGCAAAAACTCCCTGCTTCCAGCTCTTATCTGTCAGGGAAGAGACACCCACCTTCCCCACGCCCCTTAAAGACTCTTTCTTGGTCTTTCCAACTATTCTTATTTTTCATTACCATATCCTGATTTTTCCTTTTCACAGTGGGTGGCTCTCCTTGATTACTGGCCACTCTGCAAATGTTAAAATAACCAAGCGAAAAAAAGAGAATCCAAGCATGCTAATGACAGATTTTATAAGATAAGAACTAAAGGCAGAAATTAAGTATGATACCCTTTAACTGAAATAATGGCAACAATCTGGAAAAGCTTCAGATTAAGATTATACATGTTTAAAGCCACTAACAATTTAGCGCTGTACGACTTGTGAATTCACAAAGCCACGACAGTCGCACATGGTTAAAGTGCTATATATCATGGTCACATACTACTTTTTCGACACCTGCTGTACTTGCATGATGATGCACAATTATAAAATCTAAATTCCACATTTAATTAGTGAGATATTATCATTAATACTAGAAACATTAATAAAACATTACAGTTTTATAGCATTAATTTGGCATTCTCAAGGCTCTTTGCAAATGTTCAATCTCCTAAGGGCTCTATGAAATAGAACAGTATTCCATTTTCTAGATGGAGATGAGTGGCAGAGTCTACATCTAATAATGGGCAGCTACCGAACTAACCTGGTAGAAAACTGTTTTCTTCTGAATAGGTTAGTTTTTCTCTTGATTTAGTATCCTGAAATAGCTTAGCAGAAGGTCCAATGAGAGTCAAAGCCAGTGTAAAGGAGAAAGAGGGAGCGCATGCTCTGGGTGGAGAGCAGCATCCAGCAGTCAGATTGGCATAGGGTTGCATGGTACCCACAGCCATAGATGAATTGATTACAGGTATCTGTGTCACAGCTGACAAACACAACATGCCGTTTGCTATTTTGCAAACAATTTCCTCCTACAAGTAGACTTAGCGTGCAACCCCCAATTTTAATCTACGGAAAAATTTATCTCTTGTAAATTAAGTCTCCGCTTGCCTACAGCGCTGATAAGCTGTAGAGTTTTTCAAACCTTGGTATAACCTAGATTTTGCTACACATGACACAGAAAACAAGACAGAGATGAAGCCTGCAATAAGAGGCTTAAGAGGTTTCAAAGTAAGAATAAGATGTTTACAAGGTGTTAATAGAGCACCACTGAAGTTTGATACATGATGAAACATTAACAATTTAGCAAACAGTTCTGAACTTTCGGGATTCACTGACCACCACTAGTAAAAAAAAAGACTTTCCTGTTATACGTATCTGTATTAATAGCAGACAAAACAAAGAGAGCTGTATGATACAAATAAATCAAGCAAGTATTTCCACTTACCTGATGCAATAACTGATAGTCAAAATTAGGGACGCTTTTATCTCTTGTTATTGTTCTCCGTAAATGTTTTGCTCTAAAAAATATTTTGAAGAAATTGAATTTAACTCTTTCCACAAAAGTCCAATCACAGAAAATCCACAAGGTGGCACTATCTCAACACAGAAAGGCTATTTTCTGACACCATCTTCACAAAATGACAGGCTACTAGTATTTCCTGCATTTTATCACAGAATACATATCAACATTTAAAAAGATCATAGGCAACACTGAGCGAAGCACTAAGATTATATTTTTAAAGCAGTCTGGCTCTGCAATTCTTAATTTATGGTACTCCGAGTATTAATGCAAAACCAATTTTAAATACGTTTGCAAGTACTCCTTCACTGGCCAGCTTTTCCCTCCTGCTGCCCAGCACATCACTGCCGTTCACCACCAAAGAGCACGTCATGCCTAGAATGTCTGTTTGGTCATACGAATGTGCATGCCTCAGAGGATTAACATCTACTGTCAGCTTAGTCATACGTGATGTGTAACAATGCTTGACCCACTTTTGGGCTTTATTAATAGTTGTATTTCTTGTTTGCTTATGGGAAACAATAAACATACTTCTGAGGAAGCTTCTATGCTTACTTGTTAAATCTGTTAATTGATTGGACCAGTTGAAGTTGTCTGCTTATGGGATCATCGGCTTTTTCACATGGCTTAGAATTCACTAGGGGTTTAAAAGAACAGGCAGCTAAAATTACAACTGAGTCACACTTAAGAATTAAAATCACCACAGTTCTGAATGAAAAGAGATATCTACTAACATTAGATTTAAAATTTTACAGTAAAACTATAATAGCAATAACTTGAATCAGAGTCACAATTTATCTTTTTAAAGATAAATTTTAAATTCTAAAGCATTTTAAGTCTCAGGAGTAAGCATTCTTCATCAGATTAGCATGACTGGCCAAGCTTCTGAAGAGACCGTGGAATTCTGGACTTTGAGGCCCTTCTTTCCAATTTTTATAAACCTGCATTAGTTCACACACAGATGCTATACCACCTCTGCATTAATATTACTCATGTCTTCTATTGTTCGTATAGAACTATTCTCATAATATTTGAAAGGACTGTATCAATCCTTGGCATCAGCATGCCATGATTAATTTTGGTTTTGCAGTAACGCAACGTTCACAGTCTTTCCTAGGGAAGGAGGCAAGAGTTCTTTTGAAAAGCCTAACTAAAACTCATGGGTGCTGAAATGGTCACTCCTCCTCCTCATGTTCCCCGATTCCTGCAAGTGCAGCCTCACAGCCTTCTTTCCACAGTTCTGGTGGCAGCAGGTCCTTTACTACACTGAGCTGTCTGGCTCATCGCAGAACTTGTTACAGCCCTCGCCCCAGGTTAGTGAACTGTATCAGCTTGAAAGTCAATCTGAAGAACTTCTGAGCCAGCATAAGGAATGTAGTGGACAAGCAAGACCAGAAGCAGAGGGCAAGAGGGAAGAGGCAAGGATGGACGGTGAGCAACACCATCTCTTTTAAGCAGCAGTAAGCCATTATATCAGCTCAGCTGTATTTTCAAACTGTACCGTGTATCTCAACATATTTGCTTAGACTGTACTATACGCTGCCATTTACTGAAAGACATTCTTTTGCAAACCATGCTTAATGGTTTAGACAGTGACCTTTGTAGCTCTTATTTTGTCCCATAACATGACAGACAGTAGCTAATGGAAGGGTCACTCCCTAACCTGTTTCAGGGCAACGTAAATGACAACTAGAGGTGATTTAATGTTTTACTTTGCACTGAAATGGACAATGATTACATGGTTAATTATATAATCTCAAATGTGGCACGTTTTTTAATTTTATATGGTTTTGTATATAAAATTCACACACACACACCCCAAAAAAGTGAAAACCGAGTTTGCGGCAATGTCATGAATATAATACAAAGTCTGCTGCATTTAGTTACAGTATTTTAGGTGTTACCGGTAATAAATACGCAAAGTAGTTGTCTGTTCTTTAATTAGATGTAAATCAGTTGTAGAAAATATTTGATGTAGTCACACATGAATTCCTAAATCCCTTTTTATTCATACCAGTGGAAATATGACATGTACCTTTTTTTCTTATCTTGATAGAAGCATGCTGTTCACACTCCTTTTCTCTCTCTGCTGATGTAGATACATAGCTTGGTGCCGTTTCCAGCAACTTAATGATATTTGAATTCTTAATTTTAAAAGTTTCCATTTTCACCATTATTAAAGAAAAAGAAAAACATCAGTACAATTTACGATTCTAGTCTATGCAGAGTGTGTTAATTAATTGCTGCCAAAACGAATGTGATACACGCAAAAATACCTCATTATAAACACAAACTTTAAACTCTATCATTTTGAGAAGGGATAAAAATCAACGTTCCACAAGTTGCACTGTACCAGACTGATGATTTTGTGGTCCTGACCTATTATTTTAAATAATTTATGGTTAAGCTAATTTCCATTTAAATGGTAATACACATACTAAAATTGATTCAGTACAGAATTTTGTGGTCATTATGCTACATCTCAGAGCCTATTTAATCACAAAGATAGGGACCATGTATCAAATCATTTAAAGAGTAAAATAATTCTTTCTTTATAATTTAATATTATATATTATGTTATTGCTATTAATAAAAGGGAAGGTCAGAGTTATCGATGACAAGATAAAAGGTATCAAAAAGCATGATGGGCAAAAGATGGTGGGTGGAACAAGGAAGATCGCTAGCAGTGTAACTGATGAGTGAAAGGTGTTCATTTTCCTACATTCAACATTTCTTCTGCTCTCTCTGCCATTACTAGCATAGATTTTAATGTAATTTTCATTCATGTATGTGCTCTCACTCTTTCTAGACTCATCCTTTTCATCTAGGATAACTTATTTCAGAGCACAACCGGTTTCATATACAATGGGTATCATACGGTACATTGGACAATAAACAGGCATCTTGGGCTTTATATCATGCATAACTGCTAAATACAGAAGTCTTGGCAAATACTGCTGTGACAAACAGTTATTTTTGTTTTCTTTCTTATATTATGCATATGGAACTTTAGGAAAAATCTAACCTTAGAAATGAGCTTTCTGCACTCACCGGCTCAGCACAGTCTGCAGGGGTGCAGTTCCTTTCGTTCCTTATGTGTGTCATTGCACCATTCTGAAGTAGCAAGTCTACCAGAGCTTCATTCTTTCCTATCACGGCCTCGTGCAGTGCTGTATTTCCTTTAGCATTAGAAAGGTTAACAGAAGCTCCATGCTGGAGAGCAAGCAAGATAAAATTGAAGTTATAAAAACAGAGTAGCATGAAAAGGAGGTAGCACATCACTATTCTGTTTTTCTCTCCTTTTATTTTCAATGTATGAATGAGAACAATGCAACAGAAGTCTCGTAGCTGTATACAAACGCAGAAAGCATATGCTAGCAATCACCAGCTCAGCAATAAGCCACCTGATCATAGTAGTTCCTCTTCTCTCACAGCCACAGTTTCACGGATCAGCTAATTTCATTTTTGCACGTATCTACTACATGTTCCAAGTTTAAGAGATATTGAAAAGAAACAAATAACAAAAAAATGCAAAAAACCCTATGCGATAGAATCATAAGAAAGAAAACCTAAGACCTGTCATGAAAAAGTTCCATAAAAACAGCTAGCTGTACAATAGTAAAGTAATATTTATTTAATAAAAGTCCACGAAGAGAAGGGTTTGAAAGGAATGAGATAACAAATACTCTTTTTTTTTGTTTCCCTGAGTAGTTTTGACAGAGAAATGCATAACTAAAAATACTGATCCTGAATACTGAAGAAGCACAAATATCACATAAGAAATACTACAGTGAACATTCTGTTCTCTGTGATCTTACCTGTAACAACAAGGCAGTAGTCTCATACTGACCATTCAAGCATGCATAAATTAAAGGAGTATTTCCATATATATCCTTTTTATTTTGTTTAGCATTGTAATCCATCAGACACTTCACCACCTATTGAAAGAAGTAACAACTCTTTAATTTAAGATACCAGCTAACCATAATCACGCAGTGAAAGCCCCCCTCTTTTTTATTTTTTTCAAATCTAGAATTGAAGACATGGGGAAAAAAAAGGATGGAGAAAACAAGTCTCATCTTTGCCAAACAGATGATAACCACAAGCATCTCTTCCTATCGTACTCATTTTCATATATTACCACACACTTTTAAAAAAAAAATCTTAATCAACTGGAAGAAAGGCCAGAAAATAAAACATGAGGTATGTGAAAAACACACATACTCAGTAACTTAAAATATAAAAAACAAAATCCCACAGCAACAGTATCCTTTCCCCCTTTCCAAACTCATCAGAATGCCTGGAAAGAGTTCTTTATATTGTAAATACCTCATGACCTAACCTTCATTAACCCACAATCTTCAATTGTAGCCTCATTTTCTTCTTGCTCCTAGTGCTTTGCCTCCCCATCATTTTCATAATTATCTCTGGGTTTTTTTCCTCTTGCAGTCCTCAGCTCCTTATTCTTAAAAGCCTAGTTTTTCACTTTCCTGCAAATTCCCATTTGCCTGTCTGCACCTGCTTTTTCATGATTGCTATTTTTCCCCTCTCATTTACTCTACCTCCTGTATTAATACCCTCCCCTCACTAGCTCGTGCTTCTCCGTCACTGCTTATGCTTCCCTGACTTCAAGTCAGGGATGAGGTTATCTGCTACTCTCAGAGCTCCACTTGGCTCTTAATCTACTTAAATGAGTTGCTCCATTGAAGATACAGTAAATATTTAATACTGTGGCTACTGAAGATACCGAGTCTTGCATCAACAGATATACACATAATCTCCTTGACCAGAAGGGACAGAGAGAAAATACACAGGAAGATTCAGCTGCACAAGGTATTTCTAAAGTAGCTATTGGCAGCACTTTCATTAAACCATTATTTTAGGTGATTTAGAAAGAAAAGGTACCTACTGAAACTGTTTCAAGTCAAAAGATCCCCTTCCCATCTGGAGATTTTAGACATTGAAAGAACAAACAGAATCACCTAACTAATTTTCACTGTTACTGGTTTAGTCTTGTTGAAAATTTCACAAAACGGCTTTTTGTTGGTCATTAAGTGTTAAATAGCTTGCATTTATGAAGAGGCTCAGTTACCTGGAAGTGACCTTTCTGGCAAGCTAGGTGAAGAGGAACTGCATGTTTTGCATTCTTGGCACTGATACTGGCTCCGTGTTTCAACAAGAGAGAGGCAAGTTCAGAGTGTCCATGCAGTGCAGCCATATGCAATGGTGTAAAACCATCTTGGTTTGAAACGTTTACTCCAAGTCCATGAGCAGAGATCCTTGCAAATTTCTGTTGAGGAAAATACACAACAAAACTATGTAAAGAAGCGGACAAATACCTGCTAAGTATACACAAAACAGGTAGACAGACCTTACAAGAACTTCTGCTACGGAGACTAATTTGAGACCTTCAGGAAAAGAGTTAGTAAACCAGAGCAGCTTGGTACCATTTTTCAACAGAACAATGAGTTTTATTTTTCCCTCTTCTCTTCCAACATGATAGCTTCATATGGAAAAATACCAGGTAAAGTATTCATCATACTAAAAAGAGGCTAAAGCAGCACAGGCTGAGATGGAGTAAAACTCTTAATTTTTACATAGCTGTTAGGATGCTCTTGTGTATGGAGAGTAAGTGTTAATACTATGAATTAGTTATTTTCATTTATAAAGACATTTATGCTCTTGGAGACAAACACTACACACCTATTTTACTGCTACATGAAGCTCGAGGTAATAAGGATAAAAACTAAAATTAATTTTATTCATGTGGAAGTGACACTGGCCCAGAGAACAGAGTCCAGACAAGGAACACAGCATCTAGAACACAGCTTACACAGCAATACAGAACATCCCTTTTTACTCCTGTTGCAAACTGTGTAGGTGCCTAACATTTACAGCCGTAGACAATCTCTCATTCTGCCTATCCTCAGTGTGCTTTTTAAATGTGTGCCTACCTAATACAGTGGTGAAGATTAGTTAACAAGTTCCTTCTAGTTTGCATTCAGTAGGCAAGTAAATTCCACAATATCTGTGGAATCAATACTGTTACCAATAAAAGGAGCTTTACGGCCTCAGGCTCTGGGATCTTTAGCACACTGTCTCTGTACACAGGGTACATGGACATGTGCTGTCAGGGAACATAGCACAGTGTGAATGTGAAGCATTTAAGGACAACTAGCATACTCTTAGCCTGCACAAAATAAACATAAAGTTAGCAGTAAGGAATTTAGAAGCTGTTAAGTTAAGCTATCCCACATTTTCTCTGTTAAGTCATATGGATACTATTACCTCAAAGTAGACTATACACTGAAAATTTATACTTTGGTTTATTTTGCAGTGACTTATCCAGTTATGTATACCTTCAGACACAATAAACCATTTTCTTCCTGAAAGGCAAGTAATTGGTTTTCTATTTCCAAGAAGCTGGGATCATTCCTTATTTAAATTTTTAAAAAAGTGTGTTGTCAAGACTACTTCTCCTCTACAGTCCATGATAAATAAGGGGAAAGGAGGTCTTTGCAATTGAAAACGAAATCTTTGCAATTATATTTAACCTCTGAAGAGGTTTTAGATATAGCTTGTATAAAAGATGTCATGGCATCAAAAAAAAAGACTTTATCAGCATTACATTGATTATAGGATTAGCAGGTATTAATTGCTAAACTGATTACTAACAGATCAGTGGATACTCTGTGACAGTTAGCAATGTAAACTGTAAAAGAGAACCAGGAAAAACTGAGGCTTAGAAAAAGATTTTTCCTACTTATTCAAAGTTGTCCAAACCTCAGAATATGTGCACTGCTGTCATTAAAAGCAAACTGCAAAGTTTTTTCACTCCATTAGATATTGAGGAAGTCTTTGAACACTGTTACTGTATCCAAAATTTTCTACAGTTCAATTAAAAAGAGAACAATTTCATGACACCGGATGAACTCTTGTTATGATCTGTATACTATTTAATCACTTCTTAGACAGAAACAGAGGTGTTGGGCAATATAAATGCTATTTCCCTAGACCTAAAAGTTACATTACAAGAATATAAAGTATTCTTTTTACAGAATGAATATTCCAACCTTTTGTGCGGGCCCACATTTTGAGCACTGGCATAATGGATGGCAGAATTCTGGTTTTGATGTACCGACTGTGTCATTCTCGTCTTCTAAGTCTTCTTCCATCCATTCCAAGAGATAACGCACCTGGCATAAAAAGCAAGTCCTCCTTTATAGAGTCCAAAGGTTCCATGTCCTAATAAATTTGCACATGTAGACCAGTAAGCTTTTACAAACATGCACTTGTGAATATCTCCGACAGAATATACAGCTACCTCCTGGCATCAGCTGCCCACAGGCCAAACTAAAAAAATCAGATGTTATTGTTGACAAAGCAGCTAGAAAGTTCACCAAGTATAGCAGTGAAATAAATTATAAATGACTTCCTGCTGCCTAATCAAGACTTCAGTCTTCACCTATTCTCAAACCCTCCAAATCCTTTTAGCTCAAATGATTTGTGCCAGCTCATACCAATGCGAATGTTGTTTCATATTTCGCTTTAACAAACCTAAGAAGTGACAAGGATGACAATAAGCGATTTAACCAATATCCAAAACTTTTCTTAGGTCTGTCACTTCCCAGGAGCTTAACAGTTTCACTTTTGCCTCAATGTACAATGCCTCATTTTTGAGGAAGAGAGGGGCCCTTCAATGAAGACAGTCTTAGAGCATTCATCTGCGATTTGCAAACAGCGATGCTTACTGCATGTTAATTTTATATTACATTTTATGCAACAAAAAACACTGTTTAAGAAATACATTTTTACTTTGAAATTCAGTAATCCACTGTAAACTAAAGACATCTTAGAATTAGCAGTGGCTGTGTTAAGTCTCCATTATTACACCATCTGGCAATGTTAAGCCTGACATCTACCTAGTGTATCATTCCGAGTTTGTATTATGCTCAATGAGACAAGTCTTTCCGAAACTCAGGACAGAAGTGGGAATTCAGCTGGTCTCATAATGCAAGGAACAACACGTTGACAGTCACCTTTTTCTAGGTGCATGAAAAGGGCTAACATCACAGCACTCAAAAACCAAGAGAGAAGGAAGCTCACACAAAGCCCTGGTGTGTAGAGGCTAGATCTGCCGGAGCTCCTGCAGATCTTCTGGGGCTTCCCAGACACAGCAAGTTACAGGATTACATAGCGGGTATGAAGCTGTAACACGTGTCATCTTGTAAAGGGTTTTCCTTTTACTCTTCCTTTTTTTTAATTTATATCAGCTTTTAAGACAGCTGTCAAAAGATGTACCATTGTCCTGTGACCATGAGGAAAGATTAGCCCTTTGTCTCCCACTGAACAGTGCCACGGAGCAAAATCGAGGAACCACTGTCTGCTGAAACTGAGATCGACTATCTTTGCTTGGGGATTTGGGGGTTGGGTTTGATGCCACAGAACGGGACCAATCCAACAGCTGTACAGATGCTAGTCAAGCAGGGAATTGGGAGAAACGAATTTCCTGCAGGTCCCTCGCACTGTATTTGCTCTCCCCTTGTCAGCAAGTTCTGCTTCTTACCATTAAGGTAGCTCAGGGAAACCAAACACACATTAATAATCTATCTAATTAAATAGATGCAGCCAGAATAAATCCTAGGCCCGCTAGTAAGGCCCAAATACCTGATTCTGAATTATAACATAATTGAGACAGAATGTTGAAAATTGAGATAGGGATATTTCTCGCAGGGAATATTACTTTCCCTGCAAATTCCATGCTGTTCTCTGGAGTAAAAAGAAATCTTCTCTCAAGCTTGTCCGTTTACAGAAGGCCAGATCAGTGAAGGTTTACTGTTTGCTACATTTCTATATGTCTAAAATAAATATTACTGTCACTTCACTTCCCCTTCTCCCTGCAGACTGACCAAGACTCTCACAAGTGACACTTTCTCCTTCTATCACAGCTCAACACTGCTGCTCTCACTATCCAAACACGTCACTCTCAACATAATAATACCAGTGTCTCACCAAAAATATGAACATGCATACCTCTTTATAATTACAGTGGAACAGCCATTTTGGGGGAGTTTAAAGGTTTTTTAGTAAAAAGGTTAAATGTACTTTTAAGCAGACTCACAGTGACGCAGCTAAGGGAATTGTCCATAATCTCTCTTTGCCAGGTAACTTGTCATCTAAAGCCTTCTTTACATTGCAGAGTAACCCTTCCTGGAATATTCAGCAGAGCGCTCTGGGAGCACTGTACCCTGGGTGCCAGACTTTCAGCTCAGCTGCTCTACAACGTTTATTTTATACAAGAGATTTGCTTTTTTTTGTGGTGGATTTGCACATATCCATTCCGCTAGAAGAGTCAAGGCTAGCTGGGTGGAAGGAATTTCAGAACAGTGCCTACCCAGTATTCTACACTGAGACAAAGTCATTTCTTCCTTAATACCGTTAACAGTGGTTTCACCAATCTCGTCTCAAATACTTTTAACAGAAGAGGTCCTGTAACCTCCCAGGTCTGTTCTAGTGCTATCCCACTCTAATAATAAAAGGGTGAGGGTTTTTTATTCGCTTGTTTTTTAAATCTAAGTATCTTTGTTGGAAGCTGAATGGTTCATCTGTCACTAAGGAGCCATGGCATACACCTGACCATCAAATCCAATCACTAAGAATGAAAGACTGAAAACTGATGTTAAGCAGTATTGACTACTTCTATAGCACACTTTACTGACTTAGAGCCATATAAAGGCTTTGTTCAAAGCAATATCCAATGGGCTAAGACAACTCTTAATAGTGAACACCAATAATGGAGTGTCCTGGTTTCAGCCAGGGTGGAGTTAATTTTCTTCACAGAAGCTAGCGTGAGGCTATGTTTTGGATTTGGGATGAGAAAATGTTGATAAGGTGCTGATGTTTTGAGTTGTTGCTGAGTAGTCAAGGACAGTCCAGCTTCTCGTGCTGGCCTGCAGCGAGCAGGCTGGGGGTGCGCGGGGAGCTGGGAGGGGACACAGCCGGGACAGCTGACCCAGGCTGGCCAAAGAGATATTCCATACCATATAACGTCATGCTCGGTATATAAAGCTGGGACGAAGAAGAAGGAAGGGGTGGAGGGACGTTCGGAGTTATGGCGTCTGTCTTCCCAAGAAACCATTACGCGTGACGGAGCCCTGCTTCCCTGGAGATGGCTGAACACCTGCCTGCCCATGGGGAGTGGTGAACAAATTCCTTGTTTTGCTTTGCTTGCATGCGCGGCTTTTGCTTTACTTATTAAACTGTCTTTATCTCAAACCATGAGTTTCCTCACTTTTACTCTTCCAATTCTCTCCCCCGTCCCACAGTGGGGGAGTGAGCGAGCGGCTGCGTGGTGCTTGGTTGCTGGCTGGGGCTAAACCACGACATGGAGTTATAACAATTTTTACCAATTCAGTAACCACTAAACACGTAAAAAGTACAGTTTGAAAACCACCCCCAAAAACCTGCTGCATAACTCTGAAACATATTTTGGGAATAATCTTAATCTTTTCTATACAGATATTCCCTCCATACTGTCCCAAAATGTTCTTTCTCACTATATACACGGAAAATTTAGCAAAGTGGGCTAAATTTTATTTTCAAAATGTAGAATTGGTTGCCATTGAGACAGCTAATTAAAATAACAGTCATTGATTAACACCATTATCTCCAATCTAAAGCATACTTGCTTTTGCAGTCTGCAGGTGCTACAACAATGACAAAGGTTGTTGTCTGGCTTCCTGAACAATCACAGCATAATTTTATGTTTTTAAAATCTTCCAGTTTCATAGCACTTTTTTGTAATGCCTCCTCATGCAAAGCTCAGTTGGCTGGCACAGTGGAAAACTACAACAGCACTAACGACCCTCAGGCTGTCAGAACAAGGTAAGAGTTTTTAACTAACTGTGGGTTTTTTTAATAGATGTGCAAGCTGTAACCTTTGCCATGCAAATGGACAATTCTCTTTATAATGAACAGTTTTAAATGAACCTGAGTAATGTAGAAAGTAAAGCCACAAAAAAAAAGGTGACTCTGTCATGTGAACACATAAATAAGTTAGATTTTTATATGCTTTTCCGATATCTGTTGAGCAGTGTTAGATACTCATTTTCCAGCAAATTATAGCACCATATTTAGTTTTCTTTAAATATTTTCATGATGCAGTTTAGATTTTCACAAAGTCTGTGAAAAGTTAATTGTAATACATTCATGTTTACTACTTGCCAGGAAGATAGTAAATATCAACATTGTATATATTGCTGCTTCTTGAAATGACTTAAGGGCTGACCTGGAAATAATTACTAAGATTAAGTTACATTGTAAATTAGGGTGATGATATTTACTTAACAACTGAACAGTTCTCTCTTCTATCAGTTGATAAATTAATTTGTTTCTATCATCTAACTGGAATAAAAGATGAGAGGCTCAATACTAACATGGTATGTATTTTGTGACACAGATTATCTATTTTATTACGACTGTGTGATTCTTCATTAGCATCTGTAACTCCTGGTACATATCACCTAACCAAATTTTTCAGAACATGTACCAGCAGAGAAATGCTGCATTCTCACATGGGTTCATGATTTTGTTCTGTGAACTACAAAACAATTAAGAAATGTACAGCCTTATACATCTTTCCAAAGACAAAACTTCTAAAGATTTCTGTGTCATCTTCAATTTTTCAGTGGAATGACATTAGAAGCACCTTATTGTTTAAATTCGCAGGAATAAAGGGCAATAGCAACTAAAAAATATTTCGAGACAGGTAGTATGTATCACAAATTACAGAACATCAGCTCTGAAATGGGTATTATTATAGCCATCAGCTAGCTATTTGAAGTCAAATCCAAACTACAGGAAAAGTTGTATGTCCCCGAGATAACCTCTCTGTACCGACTGGTATCACCTGAATTTCCCCTCTGTATGAAATATTAATAAAAAAGGATCACAACAAACAAAGTAAGAGCCCATTTTTCATTTATAGTACCTATGCACAATTATTACATGCAGTAAACACACAATAAAGAATAGACAATATTCAAAGCATTAGAGAACCTGGCAATTCAGGAATCAAAAAGCATTTGTGGATTTAAAACCACTGTATTACTGGAATGCTTTCCAAGTCAAATAACCGCAGACTGTAAATCCCACCATTCAATTTCCAGAACTGGTGCACAGCACTGCCACTCGAGCATGTGCATCAATTCACACATCGGGAAAGATACAATGCTGTGACCTAGGAACAAGCAACTGGGAATAATAAGGCTTTCTATTGGATTTGCTGTCAAAAATCAGGTTTACCCGAAAACTCATCTATTTTGCCTTTTTTTTTGTTGTTTTGTTTTGTTCTGATTGCATATCCAGTCCAATGTTGTGACTTTGGTATACGTATCTTTTTACAGCTCTGCAATGCACCATGCTTCCCATCTAAGAACAGCATTTGACAGTGTAGCTTGAGCACCACTTGCAAGCACATAAATCGCTCTTTCCCACAATATTTCTTTTCAACATGCCTGCCCTGAATGTTGTTCTTTCCAAGTTCTTTGCATCTCCTGGAGGTGACTATGCATACATTTTTAAATGACAGACATTCACAAAGGAATTATTCAATTTAAAGTAATTTCTTTAGTGCAAGAGATCATGGAAATGTAAAAATAATGGGCCTTAAAGCACTGTAGGTAAAATAATTTGGGACATGGAGTGAATATTCTTTGCAGAAAATGAGCTGAATTTGATTAATTGTTGCTGAAAGAAGGTATTACCCAAAGCATTCTGCACTTAATACTAACTACTAATAATTTCCTCAATTTGAATGAGGTAAATTGGAATTCAGCAATATTCAACAGCCATGCTAAGACTCACCATTTCCAGATCTCCGTCAGCAACTGCTCTTAGGAGTTTTTCCACCTATGTATGAAGAAAATTTGTTTGCTTTGTTAGTATTCGTATTAAGCTGTACACAGAAAATCCTGTCTCCTTTACTAACCTCCTAAGCTCATGTGGTAGGATTACTGCTGGCCCATTTCATATTTGTTGATAAAGTTTTAAAGAACCATCTTCCTTTATGAAATACAAAAGCTGTGCAAGGCCTGTGGCCATTTGATGATCCCTGACTTGCTTAGTTAAAGATAAACAGTACTTACCTACACAGAGGACATGTAGTTCACACATAAACAAAGCCATGTAAACTGATATGCATGATTATGTTGCTTCAGCAGCAGCTGACCATGCATTTCTGTTGTGAACCTAACATTAAAAATCCCTGCTCAAGACAAAATTCTACCCTGACAAACACTCGTACTGTTCGGAGTCTTACTGAGCTACTATATGCTACCAGAAAGCACAAAGGATGGCAGGTTTTATTTTGCTATTTCAGAAACAACAGTTTAAGATGAAAAAGACATTTTCCAATTGTTCACATCTGCAGATTACTAGTTTATTCCTATATTAAAAACCAAACATTTACAAATCTAACTTGATTGTAAGTATGAAATTTGTTTTCTTACGTAAAATCTGAAAAGATATAAATATCAAAGGATATGCATTAGCAGAAGCTTTTCAACTCAGAGAGTTATTCCAGGGGACCAGCATTAGACCAATTATGTGTGTGCTCAGGCCAGCTAATGCCTGAGCACGACTGCTTGGTGGAGATACTCTCCTGTTTACGAGCTCTGCAGGGGGAAAGAGGCAAGTGGGGGGAAGAAGAGATGGAAGATGCTCTGCAGTGCCCTGATGCCATTCCCTGGTCCCCCCGACTGCTTTTGAAAGCAGGAGAATGAGATGTACTTGTCTCCCCACGTCTCCTCTGATTCTCTATTCTCCCATGAAAGAGTTGAGATCTAACCTGATGGAAACAGGATAGGTGCCAGTAAAAGGGCAGGGAGAGTCCATTAGTACTACCAAGAGGCAACTTGTCCAGCCTCTGCAGATTGTTGAAGAATCATTTAATAAGTTTTGCGAATGTTTCACCATTATAGCAAATTATTCCAGCACTATGCCATCACCACCAAAGATGCTGCTGTGTAAACAAAGTTGTTTCAATATTAAGAAACAACTTGCAAGTTTAAGATGTCATGGAGTAACAGCTACAGCCACATTTCAATCCCATCTAGAAATGACTATCTTGCTGACTGTGACACCAGTGTTCGGTAAAGCAAACAAAGAAGAACGAGACTAAAAGGAAGTTGTGTTTTCCTGCTCTGACTTCTTTAAGGCTTCAGCAGAACAAGACACATCTACAGGTGAAGGATGTCTCCATCCATTTTTATCGCTTTTTAGGAAAGCTGGTAAGTTTTATTTTATTACTACTTTTCTAATACAAGGTGAAGCTCCTTGAACTCATGCACTAAGGACTCAAGGCAGGATTTCTCTTACCTAACTTTGCATGTCTAAAAGTTAGCTGTCTAAATCTAAGCCAGTTATGTACACTCCTTCTCTGTTAACTACAGAACAAAACGCAGTCAAATGACACTCGAGTGTCTTATTGCTCACTTGCAAGTGACTTACTACAGCCTTTCCGTACTTACAGAGGGCTTATAGGAAAGACGGCAACAGGCTTTTTAGCAGGACCTGCTGCAATAGGACAATGGGTAATGGTTTTAAACTAAAAGGGTAGATTTAGGCTAGCTATAAGGAAGAGATTTTTCACAGTGAGAGGGCTGAATCACTGGCACAGGTTGCCCAGAGAGGTGGGAGATGCCTCATCCCTGGAAACATTCCAGGTCAGGTTGGATGGGGCTCTGAGCAGCCTGATCGAGTTGAAGATGTCCCTGCTCACTGCAGGGGGGTTGGACTAGATGACCATGAAAGGTGCCTTCCAACCCAAACTATTCTGTGATTCTATGATATTAACTCAGGTCAAACTAAGCCATGTCTGAGATTAATTCCTCTCAGGAGGTACCAATTCCTTCCCACTGACTAAGGAGGGAAAACAGATGTCTAACATTAAGACAATTGTCTTTCAGACATCTGAATTTAGGTAGCCAAATCACAATCTCTACAGCTATACATCTGAAATGGACAATGTATACTAGGGAGATCTGTACCTTCCATAAGTTTCCCGTGATCATATAGGATATGTCACTAGAGAATGTAAAGGTCTTGATTTTCAGGAGCCAGTCTTACCACATACAGGATGCCTAACAGTAACAGCAAGTGACCGACAAGCTCTGATAATATCTTTCTAAAAATAACAACTCCCTTCCAGTTCTAAAAACTGCCTCAGGCCCTAGCAGTGGAGAAGCACACAATGTCTGTTATGCAGCTTATAGATAATTTATTAAGAGTACTTAGGGCAAAATGTCTGCTACATGCATTTCCCCATCTTTCCAGTTTGCTTTCTCACTCCTCCGTGGAACAGAAGTACCTTCCTTTAAATGTAAAAATGGATGAAACAAATCTACTGCAATTCACTCGCAAGCTCAGTTTTTCTGTTGCTGAACAGAAATTGTGCAAGGAGTTACAAGTTCCAACAGAGGAAGTTCCACATTTACATGCCTGGCTCTTTTACTCTCTCTTTTTTAAGTTGTAAACAAGCCACATACAAGACATATACTATGACTTAAGTGAAGAGTTTAATTTTCCAGCAGTACTGATTAGTAAAGATCAGCTTCCCATTACTTCCAGTGGCATTCCCTTCATAGCGCGCTCTCAGGATAAGGCCCTTGCCTCATTCCAGTAAGAATAAGAGCAGTAAGCCCATGTGAAATTTGGCAAACAGAAATGAACTAAAGCTGGATTATAGGAAAAGGTCATTAACCCCAAGAATCCAAGGTGTAAGCTGCTTGTAGCCTTTTTCCCTGGTTTGAACTACAGCCTTAGCTCCTGGGTATGATAAATTTGTTCCTTTAAGGAAAAATAAATCCTCAATCTATGAGGTGAACTTTTAAGTACATTAGACCTTATTTAGAGTGCTTGACTGTACAAACAGGAAGGTACACTCCTACATTGAGGCTCTCAGAGTAACTGATAATGAAGTGTGAAGTAATATTATCCAGTCAAACTTTACATCTTTGGGTTTCTTGAACATTTTTAGAAAATAAACTTTTGGCACGAGAAGAACCTTTTAAGAGCAGGAAAAGGAAGAATTTGAATGTAGAGGTGATACGGGGAGAAACAAAAATACTAAGGAGGTTTGGGAAAAAATGGAACAGAAGGACTGGGAAAAAAATAGAGAAGCATCAGGAGTGGTGATATGACAGTCTTAGGAGGGGATAAATGGAAAGTATGGATTTGAGGTCCCACAAGAAAAAATTCAGAGGATGTGAACATCCTTCATTGGTGTTGACAGAGAAAAATCAGCACACACATGTGTGTAAGATATTTAGTATATAGTGTGTACTTTTTCATATGTTTCAAAATTGATTTCCTATGCCTATCTTGAAAGCTGGTCTTAACATTCTAGTTTAAGTTGTCTGTCAGCATGCCTGCACTAGTCTCTTTTCCCTGACAGATTTTGTAAGCCTACAATAGCATTTAATTCCTGGACAGGACAGAAGGTCCTTGGAGCACTTACTGCCATTATAATTTTGTAAACTTCAACAAATTCTCAAATTATGTAGTTAACGGCAGTAAATCTGAACAACTACTCCAAATATGCTTTCAATTTTTCCCCAGAAATAACCAGCAGAGCAGTTGATACCATACAAATACTGACATGACAAGCACCTGAGGATAGCAGCATACAATTTTCCAAACCAGACAGAAGGCTATTCCTGAAGCAGCAGTTTAAAACAGTGTTGCAAAATATCACTCTTCTTGCTTCCTTCACTTTGCTTATTGTTAAAATTTATACCTCAGTCTTACCTCTTTATAACTATTTTTTACTTCTTCTTGCCTTATATCAGTTGATGCTGACGACAGGCTTGAGACAGATGATGCTCTGCTGAAAGTTTCTGTTGAGCGCTGAGGAGACCTAAGCGGTGACTTAAAGTTGGCAAAAAAAAAAACCCCAAACAAAACAGAAAAAGTTACATATCAGATTAAGCAGGTTAAATGTAGGCAAAAATACAAGTTTAGCAACTTGCATTGGTTGTTACCTCCGAAGCACTCTGTCCTCTTTCAAATGTTAGATAGTTTAATTCCATCAACGACAAAATCTGCATAAAAATATTAACACAGAGAACCAATGTAAATCCACTTAAAGAGGAATCTACAGACTGAAACACAAATTAGCCAACAACCTAATATTAGTAACAGATTATGACTGGGCAGATTAGAAGTACCCATTTACAAGTTTATGTTCTATACCACAGACTGTATTCATGCTATTAGATTTAAAATATTACCCTTCTTCCTCAAAGGCAGACATACATTTTTCACTTCAATAGTGCCAGACCACAAAATCCTATTAGCAAGTAAGCATCTACACCTCCATGGAATTGCATCAGAAAGAAGTCAGGCTAGAAGATAAAAAGGAATACCTTGGAATTTAATGCACACTGTAGCGAAGTTTCTTTCATCCGGTTTTGAATTTCTGGATTTGCCCCATTTTGCAAAAGCACTTCTATGATCCCTTGATAGCCCCAACGAGCAGCTATATGGAGAGAAGTATCTCCCTTTTCATTACCAATATCTAGTCTACAGGAATGCACATCATAGTAGACTAAAGCTTTGACACACTGAAAAGAAAAGGGAAGCTATCAATAAATTATGGTATTGTCTCTCAATTCATGTAACACATGCAATCCTAAAAAGGTTTTTTTTTCATTGTTGCTCATATAATCCATTGCCTAAAAGACAGCCTTCTATGGTTCAGTGTCATTAAATAAAGAGCTAAATAACTCAACTAAATTTGCACAATACTACTATCTTTAATGTGAATGCATAATAAAAATTGCTATGAACTACAGAATAAAGTCCTAATTTACAGCGTTAAATAGTTAGCCTCCAAATCTTTAAAATATCTAAGTTTAGTGCAAATTCACATCACAGTTTAATTCCATTCCATTAGAATGTCCATTAGTTTGTTATAAAACAATTACTTACATCCTCATGACCATAAGTGCAGGCTAAATGAAGTGGAGTATTTCCATTATTGTCCTGAACATCAGTATTTGCCTTATAGTGCAATAAGAGAAGCTTAAAAGAAACATAAAAGTAGACATTTAAGTAACTAAAAAATTAATGGATAAACAATTTTTACTCTGTAGATTCCTTTAGGTTTCTAGCATGATGAAGCACTTAATGAAAAACTAGCTATGTCTCTCCTGTTTCAGACACTACCCTCTTGGCGTTACCATACTGTCTTTACCCTACCCTAAGAACCAAATAAAGTTGCTTCTTACATATTCAGAGTTGTCACTGAAAAAATGAATCATCTACTGCAGCAAACACTGCAATACATGTACTAGATGATAATTTATCCCATATTTTAAGAGCCTATGTAAGTGAAGATACAGCTTAATTTCAACAATGCTACCTGAAGACTGTCACATATATAAAATTCAAGTACACAATAATTAATGTAGTTACACAGTCTGTCCTAAACACAGTGTGAAGTCATTCAATTCATTCCAGTGACTGCAATAATTCTGTCTTAATCAAGAGCAGAGATGTTCACAGGCTCCCCGTTTGTACTATGTATTAGAGATTTGTATTAATAAAATGGATTCATTATCATGCACACATAGCTGTCAATTGCTTGGTTACTACAAATGGCTGAAAACCTTGCAGTATAGAAAAAAATAAAATATCATGCAAACTACAATGATAAGAGATCCTCAGTTCTGACAGCGTACACAGTTCTGGTAAAAGCTTCTCAGAAGACATAAAGGACAGTAACAGTAGAACAGCTTAGTAAGAGTCATATATTTATTATTTAGGTTAAGTATTTCTTTTTATTTCTAACTAAGCCTTTTGGTGCTTACTGTAACATTTTGATATCCCTTCTGACAGGCAAGGTGAAGTGGAGTTGAACCATGGTAATCTGTAGCATTGACAATGGCTCCTTTGGCTACTAGTAAATCCACTAACGATGTTTGCCCTTGAAAAATACACAGACATTAAAAGAAAGAAGGAAACTTGGCACAAGAACATTGCTACTTTTCAAATTCAAACGTGAACTATAAACCAAGATACCTGCATTTCTGCATACTATGTTTCTATATACTGTATATTCACTTCCTTGGTATTTGGGGGTTTTGTGGCAAATTACTCGAGGTCAAAGCTCCATAAAAGAACCTCCAGCTAAAAGCAAGCTATGCTTGTATCTTATGAGTAAGGAAAAAAAAAGGCAAAAAACCCATGTCACACAAAGCACTCTCCTATTGGGATTCAAGATAGTAATAAAAAAATTATTTATTAAAAAAAAAACCCTTACTAAGAAAATTAATACATCTTCCAATAAATGTAAGATCAACTGCATAATGAACATTACAAGACAGGAGGTGGTACAGACCTACCATGCATAGCCAGCTGCAAGAGAAAAAAGATTAATTTCTCAATCTGTCAGTTCTTTAAAACAAGACTTGTTTCTGATGACACATACTTACTTTTTTCACAGCTGAGGAAAGATCTACTGTGGTAACCACTAAGGCAAAAGTAAACAGCCAGCAAACAAAACAAACAAACAATAACTTAACCACAAGAAACTAAACTTAAAAGAATATACAATAACTTCAGTCTGTGCCAAGATAAATGCAAAGTTGGAAAACATGCCAACATGAAGATAAGGAACATAAGGAGTAGCAAACACTAGTGAAGAAAATAATATTTTATTATTTTCAATAATATTGACCAACTAACCAACAATACTCACCACAAATAGCAGCTATATGAAGTGGTGTATATCCCCGGTCATCTCGGGAAAATGGAGTGATAATGGAAGGATCATTCAGTTTCCTTTAAAACACAATAGTTTAAAAGCAGCTCAGTTACCTATGCAGCAGTGCTAAGGAGGAGAGAAACAAAAATTGCCAAGGCCAACAAAAAACTTTTGGAACTTTTTATCCTTTACCCATTCATGTTGACAAATCATTCTATAGAGTTTTCCCTTTTGTTAATAGACGTGGTTTTGTCCAAAACGTACAAGTTAGGTCAAAGAGAAGAAACATTTCACACCACGTTTACCCAAAACACATACAGCCTCCATCACAAAATTGGCTGGTTCCAAGGCATTCTCCTAATTCCAAGGTATTTTCCTAATATTTCTTCTGCTTTTTCAAACCACGTGAACATACGCTCTCTACTACATCTTGAAGTGCTACCAACTTCCCCTGTAAGCAAAAGCAGCATACTTTCTAAAGTAAATCTTAGATGAAGACTTTGTGTATTTGTGGAGATGAAAAGTGCTTACCCAGAAACTAGCTTCTCACACCTGTCACAATAACAGAGTGGATGGCACATTTTCTGTACAGTGTCCTTATCACTGTCACCTTGACTTAGTAATCGCTCCACTTCCTCCTGATTACCTGAAGCAATATGCTACAAAAAGCCAAGAGAAGAAAGAGAATGAGGAGCCAATATAAAAAGACTCCTTTTAAGGGAAAAAAAACCACCAAAACCACACAAAAAAGAGAGTCATTTACTGAAAGGAACCAATTATAAAAGATGTAGTCAAGCATTAGAAAGCAGAAATAAACAATGTCACAGCACAAAACCCCCTGATGGCCATTCAGTATTAAAAAGAATCTGTTCTTGGCTTACTTCACTTTCTATAAAAAAATTAAAACAATTCCTATTGTTCTCTTTAGACTCAGCCACGAAATTGAGCTCCCTCTGTGCAAAAAAATTTCTATAAAATTACTAATTCTCTAGCCATAAGCTGTGAACACATATAATTAGCAGCTCTGCTTTGTATCCTCGTACAGGCAAAATTCTTTTAAAATGACAAAATGAGCCTAGCATATAATATGAAGTAGTTGTCAGGTGACCACATTTAAACTATTTTTAAAAACTCTTTCAATTTCAAGCACTAAAAGCTGTGAGAGACAACCAGATAGCAATATCACATCTGTGCATTAGAAGGGCCAATCAATACAGACAGCAGTAGCATTTCATCCTCATTTGCTTCCATATTTCTTATAATGTGCTGAAACCCATATGATCATATTAACTTAGTAACATTTTGACATAGAAATACACTAGATTCAAAACACACTTTTAGCATCTAGTAAAACACATTTCACAGTACTAACGTAATGAACTCTGCAGTACATTTTAGAAAATCACTGAAAAGAAGTGATATAAAGCAATATGTAAGTACATACAGATTCTGCCATAAAAGTTATTAACCTTAAATAAGTAGTCTATTGGAGTAGCAGACATCTGGGACAACAAGTTCATCCTTTGTCTTAAAAGCAGCTTGTCACACAGTCTTTCAGATTCCTGAAAATAAAATATATAGATCGATTAGCTATATATTCACTTACAGGCAAAAGTGAAGTATGTTAACAGTGGAATAAACTTTTTAAGAGATTAAACATTGTATTTATCACTTATGAATTATCAGATGCGTGTAAAACCTAATTCAGTTTCACATTAACGATTCTGAGATGTAGAAGACTGCACACCTGCTGTTCAAAGAGATAATAAGACGTTCACTAGAACATCCTTTTACTGTAATTTTCCATGAATAAACCAAGCATTAATGAAATCATGGTTGTACCATCTAAAAAAAACTACAGCAAAACTAGAAAAACACATAAAAAAAGACAACAAAAACTGTAAGAGACGCAATGCGGCTTTCTTACAAGAAATTAGGATTCTTCACTCTGGAAAAGATTTGACTGTGCTCCAATAGTCTATAAAAATCAAATATTTTACAACAGAACTGTTCCTCAGGTGGAATAATTTTTTCAGAGAGCCACTCGAGACAGCAATCCTTATGTAGAGTTACTATCTTATTTAATCAGAAAAAAAGAGTTCATCCCAGGTGGACTACGTATCTACAAACATTAAATACAGAATGCAGAAGAATCAGGTGTTGTTTCAAGTATTAATCAAGTTTGGGCCTTCAAAGATAAAACTCAGCTTGTACCAGCTTTACTTGCACTTGAGGAATTAAAAAAAAAATGGATTGCTTTGAGTGGGACTCTCAGGTATTTTAAATCTGTCTTGTCTAGAAAAAGCACATCCAAACATTAATGATCTTTTTATCTAAACACTACTCCCTATGCTAGAGAAATGAAATATTTGTATGTGAGGCTGTACCTGTATCATGACCTATCCAAAGTGACTTTCACAGATTACAACTGATGACTTGGGGAAATTATCTCCACTCCTCCTTCCCCCCAAACACATTATGAGCCTCAGCTTGTATTCAAGTCCTTCTGCTCCCAGATTCTCCCACCTGCGCTTCCTCCATGCCAACTTCATTGCCACCTACAGCTCCTTCCATACAGGAAGGAAAATGCTGCCTATTCCCATGTGGCTCTAGGTCCCTAATGTATATCTTACTTCAACCCTCTGAACTAGAGGGTCTTACTACACATTAGCTGTGCAAGGGAACGTAACTAACCTGAATTCTAATTAAATATAGTTGACAATTCCCAGAAAATAAAATGGAATCTTCCATGCTATCAGTTACATGCTCCTCTCCCACCCACAACCAAAATGTTTTTAAGACTTGTATGACCTCAGGTGATGGTATTTGGCAGGTGCCTCCTAAATATAATTTTCTTACTGACATGAGGGTGATAATATGCCCATTATCCCACAGGGTAGTACATTAGTTCCCCACTGAGTTTTCTTTATGTAGTTAGCTTCATTAGGGACCGGACAACAGCATTCTCAGCTGCCAGAAGCTCCATCTGAAGCCAGCTATAAAATTAAGTGTAGCCACATGAGGGGCTGTAACGAAGCCCCAGGGCACAGCAATGTTCTTGCTAACTTAAATGCCAAGCCCCTTCCAGCACAAGCTGGAAAAGGAAACCAGGGAGCATCAACACAACAGCTACTGATGCTTTAAACAGAAAGCAGATCTCCTTTACCAGCTAGTAAAGGAAGTATCTCAACTGGTAAGTTCATGAAGGGAGAAGAATGCTATCAGAAATTCCTCCCATGTTCTTCCACTGCCTCACTACCCTTTTTGCAGTTTCTGTCAAGGGGCTATTTCCTACCAAGTTTCTTCCTCTTTATTGTGTGCTACCTTCTCCCTCACCCTACACTAGAGAAAAGGGTGGTTTAGCTCTTTCTTTTTCAGCTGTGCTAGAGAAGAGGGGGTCACCCACTTCCTTGTCTTCAAGGTTCTGCTGTTTTCTATCTCATCCCAGGGTGCTGCTTTCAAGCCATGTTGACTCCTATGAAATGCAATGTAGAAGTAGGTCCTGTTGCATCCTCACTGTACACACATTGGAGCAGGAAAGAGGCTAGCACTCTAGGTCTGGAGCTGATCCAGCTGAGGTATGGACAAACACACTTACTGCTTGCTCTTATACTGGTGCAGACACTAACATAAGCAGTACAAGACTGGCCTCATTTAGACTTTTCACATGTGTAGTTCATCTTTCAAGACAGATGCCTCCCAAAGAAATAAATATAGTATGTTAATGGCAGTGGCACTTGAGTTATAATCATTTGAGGGCAATCCCAGTATTAAAAAAATGCTATCCTTAACTATATAAGAAGGGAGAGGAGCAGGCATTGAGTAGGAAAGAGTTTTTATTCTAAAAATTTAGGAGTTGTATATTTTTTTTTCAGCTTGCTGGCAGTGTTGTGGAAGACAATTCTGCTTTGGTTCCAGTTCTCCATCCAGACCATGAGCATTGCTATTTGTATATTGATTGTTAACAATAACCAAGTGACTGCAGTAAGCAAAGTTGGTTGGCAGGTTGTTTTCCTTTTAAACTAACATTTTTATTTTATTTTTTTAAACATAATTCACTACAACATTACAGACAAAAAATACCACAGTCTCTTTACACAAAATGAGAGAGTGCTTTTTTTTTTTGAGTGTACAAAACAAACCTGTGCATGGCAGGTCCATGGTAAGATCCCAGAAAAGAACAAAACCAAAAGTAACAAAAGGCTAAAATGTTACTTCAAGTTCTTAAGATTGTGCCCCAGGTTGTCCCATCCCAAGCCCTGCACACTGAGCCATTATTCTGGCCCCTGCAATTAGATTCCAGTGCTTTGCAGTTGGGCAGACTGAGACACATTGAATTCACTCTGGTTCCACGTTCACTCCTTTTGATTTCCACATCAGATCAGGAAAACCTAATTTTGCGATAGTACAAAGTTTTACAGGAGCAGTAAGACCAAATTCCTTTACTAAATAAGCTACAAAGTTCTTAAATCATAGACGTTTCTGAAGTCACATCAATATCATCCTCGATCAGCCTGCAGGGATTAGACCTGAGTGACAGAAGGTCTAGTTGCCCAATTGGAAATAACTCATGCATCCACAAACTTCCCACCCCTGCTAGGTTAGAGATACCAAGAGCCAAATTTGACCTTCAAACACCACCTAATCATACTCCTGCACTCCCATTAAACTATCAATATAGTAATCTGCTCTGCAAACATTTTAGAGCACGAAGATTTACTGAATAATCTAAGTTACACTGCAATCTCTATTTTGCTAGCATAGTTAGACCTTTCAAAATTAAAGAAAAAAATCTGTTTAAGCTATGCCTATTCTCAAATACTGCATTGCTTTCACAACCATGATAGGAAGAGGAGACATAGGAGATATTAAACTTACTGAAGACTCAGCTGTTGAAGATAGCGCTGTCATTTTTCCTCTAATCATATGAAGAGGCAGACTTGACATTTAACTTCCTCAAGGAATATACCATAAGTAACAAGTATCGCTACAGGATTAGGACTTCATTGTAATCTTCTAGATCATTTTAGCATTTGCTTCAGATATAGTTACCTCAACTCATTTCTTTAAGTGCAAAAAAGGAACTCTTACATTAGCTCTTTGTATCCTCTGACTGAATTTACTCGCAGTGGTACACAGTCCTACAAGCTTATCAAATACACATTTGACACGCTTTAAGAGTAGCTTACTGTTGATCTGTCAGAGAGGTTGCCTTGTCGTATGTATTCTATTGCTGCCTCAACTGAGGTTAGACAGTATCCCAATTCATCCTTCACTGAACTGCAAAGCCTGAAGTTCTTTATGTAACTCAAGTTGGCCATCCTGAAATAAAAAGTTAAAGCCATGAACCACTAAAAATAAGACACCAGCATGACATATCTTAATACTCCAACTTATCTCAGGCAATCTGGGCAGACAATAAGTGTGGGTTAAGAATGAGCTTCCTAAAAGATTCTTAGGCTAGCAATACTATGGCTGTTTTGGGCTTTGGATCAGAACTCCACTTAACTATTCAAAGAAAAGTTATTAATTGGATATAAAGAATATGAAGGACAGAATAAGGACAGCAGTAGGATACTGTTGCACATATTTCAAACATGTTAATGTTTCAAGTACCATAAGCACCAGTGTAAAGTGATAGCTACAAATTAAAGGAAAAATGCTAATCTGAGATATGGGATACACCAACACTAAGACTCAGTTCAGGTGGAAGGTTTAGATACACTTTTACTGATAGTGAGGAGATATCAACACAATGGCATAGGCTAGCAGCAAGCAATTAAGCATTCAAATCTAGTTTCGCTATATGAGATGTATTAAATGTCTAGAAGGTGCATAAAGGTTTCACAGCTCCAAACACAGACAAGACAGGACCCATCTATGAAGTCTGTATTAACATGCAGATTTGGTATAGAGGTGGCCTCCCATTACAACTTTTTCTAGGCTAGGAAACAAAGACACAGCACTTGATTTCCTGGTAAGTCCTTAATTCAGTCACACCTGTAATAAATCTTTGCTGTTTGTCCTACTAAAGAGTTTTCTGCATTACATCAGCCCCTCTTACACTTTCAGTAGTTACTACAACATGTTCAGAAACATTTACCCTTACAGCAGCATTACCTATAAGATACGGTGAGCTCTGTACAGGCAAAATACAATTACATACCAGTTTGGGATTTCTGTTTTTACAAGTAAATACAGCAAAACAGAGAGAAGATCATCTGCACACACGGTTTCCATGTTAACTAAAAAAAAGAATTTACACCTGGTGTTAGCCATATCATGGTTCAAATGAAGAACAATACCTATAAATGGAGTTCCACCTCCTAAGACTAAGGGCCATCTCTACTAGTAGAGAATGCATTGAGTAACCAAGACAGCCATTCAAATGTTCTCAATCCCCCTTTAAAATAGACTGCCAGGAGCCAAAAACCAAATACAGTTTGTACTGTACAAATTGGAGTATTTGACCAGCATCCCCTCCTTCCTACACAGAAAGCACCAGAGCACTAGCTCAAGATTTCGGAAATTCGAGAGCCAAAACTACCCTCTAAGATAATACCTTTTTCCATAACCCAGGAGACTTCCTGGAGAAAGGAAGAGATGAAGCAGTGAAAGCATAAGCTCACTGTACTTGGTTTTCCATTCGCTTAGTAGAAGTATCTTCTCTCTCCAGGCTAGATAAAATTAGTATTACGTTAAAAGGTCCATACTTTCCTATCACAATCATTTCTGTAATGCATGGTAGCACTTTGAATGCAACATATAGGTTTGTTCATTCCCCACCAACACTGCAGTTGGCAAGAGATGCATCTCAAGAGTATTGATTTCAAGATTATCAAGGAGCATGGACAAATAGACAAGAATGATCTAGCAGTAATCCTCATTGTTTAAAAAGATCACCCTCAATTCTTCTGCATGACAAAATGTCCTAGCACAGGCAAGCTTCTCACATGCTGTAGCTCAAACATATGTAAGCTAACCAAGTACCCTACCTCACCCCATGAGAAACAATGATGAAGTGTCTATCTCGCCTCCATTTTGCTTTTAGAGACCTGAAAGGCAGACCCCAGTCTGTGTTTAATCCACAAGTGCTATTCAAACAGCTGTTTATATAAAAAGCTTTGTGTGTACTGGTTAAGAAAAAAGTTTAAAGTTAAGTTATTAATTCACTAATTACTGACCTCTTTGGCTAGGAGATTGCATAATAACTTGTACCACTTTTCGGAGACAAAGTAGCTTCTGTTGAGGGGAAGTACATTTGTTCAACTGACCCAGTTCTCGCTTTGCACGCGGTATATTAAAGCTATGAAAGAATTTGAAATAAATGGTTAGCATAAAGAGTTCCTGTGCAGGAGGTCCAAAACCCAAGTTTTAACTTATTCAGAGCTGAAAAATGGTATTACAATATTTCAGTCTCTGCTCCAAGTACACACTTGCATTTCTGTACCCTGTAGATGGAGAGGGAAGCATAAGAATACAAAAGCAAAGGAGATAACGATCAATACAAAGACTGCCCTAAAATGACACTTGCAAAGCTTTACTTTTCCATCTCAAAGGAATGACCTATGAGAAAGAACTGCTATTATCTGAAGAAAGACACTTCTAGGCTGGTCTGAGACCTACTTAAGACAGGATCTCAGTGACTCCTCAAAGAGTCCACAATCATCTCTCACCTGAACTCAGGCTTCACTCCAATATCTTTTTGCTGCAGATCTTGAAGGCTCCTCGTGATTTTGTTAAAAGCAGCATCCTAACCAATAGAAAGACAACAGTTTTTGAAAATGCATTAGATTAATATCACTAATCTTTAGCAAATCAAACTTACCTCACTCGCCTCAATAGTCCCCACATATTTAAAGACTAGATCATAAATAGCATGGTGTATATACATCTGTAGAAAAAAACAGTACTTTAGGCATGAAAGGGAGAGTTAAAAATAGCTTTCTAATTATTTTCCCTCATTTCATATGCTTACTTCAACTGCTTGTTTGATCAGATTCATCTGTTCTTCTTGCTTCGCAAGCATCTTCTAGAAAAGTAAAGCCATAGAAACACCAAGAGAAAGTTAGATAATTTATTGCTTAAGTAACACTATGTACTACATATTTAGTGGAGTATGTGTTTACCAAGTGCGAATCTCTCAAAAGATGCTGGAGGCATTTGGTATAAAGTGCATTGACAGAATCCTGGGCGGCGTGGAGGGGAAAAGAAAAAAGATTCAGATTCAGGTTAATCTGACTTGAAGCAACAAAGCATAAACAAAGAAAGGATGTCTTCCCTGCCTTAGAAGTGTGCACTATGACAAGATTTTTAGCTAGAAAAAGTTGCCTTTACCAAATAGTTAACATGTGGTAATTCACAACTAAGAATTCTACTTTCTCCCTTCCCACCTTCCTCAACTCTAGACTACTCTGACATGGAAAAAGCTCAGTAAGACAAAGATATCCAAAGCAGTGAAGGGAATTATATTCAGTAAATTAAACATCAAGAAGCAAGATACTGACTATGTAGTGGCGGAGGCTTTTCCTCTCATGTTCTTTAAATGTTCTATAGAAAGATCCTATGTATTTATCAAATCTCTCACAGTGCCTTCCCAAGAATTCTCTAACATCTTCAATATTTTTAAGAGAATAGGAGTTTGATGAAGCTGTAGATTCACCTAAAATGAAAGCCAAGAATTAACACATAGGTTTAATATGTATGCATGGTAAAATACTTTCTGTTCCTACATACACAGCCAACTTGTGTGCAATGAAACGTTAATCCAGCTTACTATACTTTTAATTGAAGGTATTGTTTTTTAATTAAAGAAGTTAATGCATCAGATTTAGAGTAGGCTCTCTTGCCTTTTATGTCAAGTATTTATTTGGAATAGCTAAAACTGTTTTCACATGCTTTTTTACCCCAGGGTAATTTATTGCCACATACATAACTTAGAATCTGAGTGCAAGTCAAGCTTGAAAGTAGAAAAGCACATTACAGTATTGATTGAAAGCCCATGCAGGAAGACAGTGTGCTCCAAGTGAGCTGTACAAATCCCATCTTAGATTTTTATATAACCCATTCTTTATTTAGACATTTTTTAGACTTTCTCTGAATGGGAGAGCAAAGTTGCTTCATGTAAACATTAAACCAAATCCACTTTCCTTCTGAATAAGACAATTGGATCCCTCACTTAAAATTCATATTGCTTTTCCAAAAATGTTTTTTCTAGGCAAGTCTTTCATTTGCAATCAAAGGCAGCCAACTAATAACAGGCTTAGATCTCATTCATTTCAAATTACTTTTGAAATTACAAGTTACCTCACTTCTGAAAGACTGCTATGCAACTCCAGTAAGTAACAACCAAAAAAGGAACACCATAAGAATAATTTTTTAGGTTTAGATTAATGTTTATAGAATTTAAGTCTATACATATGCCAGCTTTTTTCTTTCCAGAACTTCCATACTTCTATCACAGTATTATTTTCACATTACCCTAGTATTACTTCACTTTGTCATCATTTGTTTCAAATAGATATTCTTATATATTTAGGAAGACTAGATGATTTTATTTCAGAAAACGCCTATGTTTTAAGAAGGTTCTGTTCCTTTTAATTAGTAAACAGATTGTTATACAAATTCACAAGGAAATCTTGTTATATTCACAGCTTTAATAGCAGCCTTGGAAATAGTGTTCCAGCCTTATCACAGGCACTTTCAGTACGATGACAAAAATTAACACATTCAACTTAACGAGACAGACCACCACCAGAAGAGCTGCTACAGAACCATGTTATGAAACCTCTAACCACTGATGAAGCAATCATGAAAGAATTTACCTCTCCATTTTTTTTTTGTGCGTCCACCTTTTATCTCAATACGTCACATTTAAGACTAAAAGCCTTTTTAATTAGTCAGCACTAAACTGAGCATTGCTAAAAAATCATGCTGGATCAAGTATTCCACAGATGATTTTTAGTGCTGAAACTGGGGCATAGACCCTACAGAATTAAGTTTGCCTGGCAGCAACTTAACATTTCTGTACAGCAGTATACCAACATCCACCCCGGCAGGCTAATAAATGCCAAGAGCTTTCAACCAAGCTAACGTTTTTCAAAATGAGGGAAATGTATTAAGCATATCAAACATACTAATTTGCTCACTGTGCAAGCAGGATCACCAACACTTCAATACATACTTGAGCTTTCTGTTTTTTCCAATGGATGAGCTATGCACAATATACTAAAGCTTTCTTCTTTTTCATTGTAAAATGTTTCCTCAAAAAGAATAGGTACTGAGAGATGATAATTAAAACCAGTTCCTAAAATGATGAGGTTTCCTTGTATGAAGATCTCCTGAAACAAAACAAAAACCAGACCAAGTGTAAAACTCCACCAGAAGAAAGTTACTCTTTGGTTTCTGCATTGCATAGTTACATTTCCAGGGAAAGAAAAGAATCTTGCAAGATAAGAAAGCCCCAGATTCAAGCAATTTCATGTTCTTGTGTTGTGTGGACACCAAAACAGATTCCTTCAGTCTGTAATGGCTAGCTAAACCTTGCTTACACCTACTTTCTTTACAAGCCTACTACTAGAGGAGGCTGCAGGCAGTCTCCAAGGTCTAAGTGACTACTTGCAGGCTCTTAGACCACTTTTAGTAGGAAGGAAATTGAAAAACAACTTCAAATTGGGGCCTAAGTCCAGCTTCAGAAAAACACTACACATCTTGTCTACATTTCTCACACTTGGCTTTATCTTCTCAAGGAACTCCAGTGAGGAGGACAACTGCAAGACAAAGATCTAGATGACAGCCTGCAAGCAGGTGCAAGATCTCAGACTGTACTGCAAAATTACAAGTGACAAAAATGTGATCCTATGCAGCATTAGCATTGGTTATCATGGCTTGCTGCTACATGAGTCAGTCTCTAATCTGCTTACTGAACTGAATACATACATCAGGCCTCAGATACAACACAATACCAGCATAATTTTGTCTTAAGCCTTGGTATACTTGCATCTGCATACAGTATATAGGCAGGCTACTATTTGCCTAAAAGCTAGAGAGACAGTTCTTAACTAAGTGATAGAGGCCCTTCTGCCACATGACAAAATTCTTAACAGCCGTAAAATACACATAAACTGACAAAGTTGCTTTGCCAAAGTACTAAGCTGAAATCAGATGCAGTGTTACCATCCGAATAGGACAATTATTCTTGTGTACATGCCAAAATACAGCTGTTGCTAGAAAGCAGTATATCCCTGAGAACTTTTGTTTAGATGGGCATCATACTATTGCCAGTTAGCTGTGACTCCTAGCTACGTCCTGTAACCATTAGTTCATCCTATCAGTCAGCAACTGCAGAGAATCATTTACTGGAGCATTCCCAAGCTACATTCAGATATCAAAACAGAAATACCTTTCCATTTAAGGTCTGAAAATTTTCTTCCAGAGGCTTTAGGACATAAGAGTCAAACTGGCAGGTAGAAATACTGTTGCTTGAAAGGCTTCCTTTGCATGGAACCAATACCTAAAAAAAGTTAATCATGTTTTAGAGAAATGCCATGTATCATCAACTAAACACCAAAAGCTTTTGCCCTTTAGAAGCAAGCAACTAATCTGGCTTATGAACATTTACCAGCAAACGTAGAGCAACCATAGCTGTTTTTGTTTAAAAAAGGCCATTGATAGAAACAGTCTGGTGATTTACCTAGAAGTTTCGTTTAGTGACTTATCTGAAAAAGGATGACAGACATACCTGAAGCAAACAGTACTAAGAAGGAGATTAATCTTATTTAAGTTACTTAGCATCAGTCACCTGAATGACTTAAAATTAGGCAGCTACTAAAAGCAAAGCGTGGTTTCAAACTAAAATGAAAACCCATCAGAAAGAAGAAAGAAAAAAAATCTAAGATAAGAAACATTCTGCATCTACTGCACACCAGACTGGCAGTTTGGGACAAATTCTTAGTTAGAAAGCAACACATTATGAATACAACAACCACCGTATACATGCTGAAAAGAAATATATGTCATTGTCAAGGAAGAGAAGCATGAAGCAAGTGGTTTTTTCAGTATGCAGCTTTGAAAGACTGTATTAGAATACAGAGAGAACTGGTGAACACATTTTAGCACTTCAACTGATCACATCACATCTTAAGTAATACACAATTGGAAAGAATCCTGTTCAATTTCAGTATTAATTTTGTAATCAGGTAACAATAACTCCCTGAGTTTAATGGAGTCTCCACACACTTAATTTTGGATGAATGCTAATTATACTATACTATATATAGTATACTATACCATACTATAGATTAGGAAACAATAACTCCCTGAGTTTAATGGAGTCTCCACACACTTAATTTTGGATGAATGCTAATTATACTATACCCAGATTAGAAGTCTTAAGGACTGGAGTTTTTATTCCAGCTCAGTCTAATGGCTTTATTTTGCTATGTAAAATGCTGTCAGAAATAAGTGCTTGTCTGTCCACCAGGGATTTCAAAAAGTCAGTTCCATTTTAAGTTACAAGTGGGTAAATATGTAGTTTTAGATCATAGCAAAGAAAATAAGCTTGTTGTAAAGTTTACAAACAACACCAACTTTGGCCTTTTACTACCATGCAATATATCAAGAGGTCCATATCAGTAAGTAACAAGCAACTTAAACTACAAGTCGCTCTGGTTGGTTTCCAAGTTTTGTAGGCTTGTACATGTGTATAATCTCTACATATGTAATAGCAGACATATTATTTAAATACATATAGCTATTATTTAACAAGCAGCTTTTAAATGTACTTATTTATACTTACAATACCATGGAGTTCTGCAACTTTGCTGCATAGATCAGGACGCCGCTTCTGAATGGCCAAATAAAAGGGATTTTTCAAGATATCTTCATCATACATAGCCATATGGACTTCAGATATTCCAAGTAGATTTTCTAAAATACATACAGAGAATGGTAAATGTATCATACGTGGTATCTGTTAAAATATAATACTTAGGAACACCTAGGGGGCAATTTGATTCATCTTGTCTAAAAAGGAAAAAGCAGTTTCGGGTCTTGATGCAAGCAGTCAGTGCCATGCTTAACTAATAAGAAGGTAACTATAGTTATTCAGAAAGATTATTTTCCATAAACATACATTTCCAGCCTCATAACGTCTCCTTAAGCCCTCCAGGTGCGAAGTTAAAAATCTACATTATTACCACTGATATACAAAGCTAACTTGTACTGCTAAGGTCTAAAACAAGCCAAGAGACATGAATTACCAGCTTCTTTACAGCAGATTCTACTGCATCACAGGACATTGATGCTTTTGCAGTATGCTCATGTGAGTCTCAAGATGCACCTGTGTACAGATTACTGACTGACTCACATCAATAAGACACAACAGGAACCCCTGTGTACGGCAATTCTCAACTTTCCAGGGAAAGTTATAGGAAAGAGGTACGTCAAGGAGATATGAATATCCGTGTCATAATTAAAAAGTCACTGCGAAATGCATCATTTGTGGTCATCTCTACTCCCATGGAAAAAGTCTCAATGATCTGAGGTCAGGCTGATGCATAATGTCTGGCAAAACAGTGAGCAAAAAAAGTGACTGGAGACAGAAAACCCAACCTGTAGGCACTGGAAAAGCTATCATTAGGTGTGTCGCAGGGAAGAGATGATCTCTAGATGCACTAGGCCCTTGACAGCTTGCTTCCTCATTTCTAATTCTCTATAAAAGACTATGACACATCCTAGACAAGGGCAGGAAAAACCCCGATAGGTTCCTTCTGGAATAACTTTGGAATTATTTTATTCAGAAGAATTGGGATTAATAAGCTCACAAGTGCTTAATTAACTAGTCTGTTCTATGTCTTTTGCCCTCATCCAGCTACCCTTAGGAATCAACAGAAGTTGCATGATTTCCTCATGCAATTTCAGCTATGTGTCCTAGGAAAGGATGAGAACAGCATCAGAACTTTAAAGCAAGCCACCCTTACACAATCAGTATTCCCCATTTTCTTAAATGTAGAATTATACCTACAACATTATTTACTAAGTGGGCTTCTTAAGCTGGTTCTGTAGCACTTGCAATATCCTACTACCTAATGCTGGTACTGGTACTAAAAAATTCCTTTCTCTGTAGTTCATGGAAGAGACATGAAGCCATTATATGGCAGTTTAGCAGAGTGGAAAAAACATACACCCAACTCCCACTGATTTTTAGATAACCTTTGAGTTTCAGCTATGCTGTTAACTGATCTACAGTCTGTTAACTGATCTACCGTCTGGTCCCTCCTTATAATCACACACAAGGAGAGCTCCCTTAGAGAGCTAAACACACACATGATCAGCTAACGCTGCAAGCAATTTCCACTATCAAGTTATCACCAGTTACAGCTTGGATAACCTCAGCCTGAACCACTGAAGTTTGGCAGTGGCAGATAACTGCCTGAAGCAGAGTTTTCCTGTGAAGTTCCAGACAAAATGGTTCATCTATTTTCAAAACATACAATAAAACTAAAGAGCTTCTATGAAAGAATACTAATTCAGCAGTCCCAAAACAATGTTCTTTGGACCATAGATCTGATGTTTGCTTACACAAAGGAGAAGAAAATATTTGCTCATTGACACCTTCAAAAGAGTAGCCAAGTTCAATAGTTATGAGACTTCAAACCTAGAAGTACAGCTTTGCACAAGATCTGTCCTGCCACAGTGTCTGAGTAAACAGGATGATCACCACTAATTCCACAGCTGATTATTGCTATAAGCACTTCCTGGCAGGCAGCTGCAATTCGAGTTCAAGCTGTGGGCTGCCTCAGCCAGTGCTGGGGGAAGAGAAAAGGCAACACAAGCCCAGTGGCAGGTCTGCTGCAGGAACACAGACACCTCACCACTGATCCATAGAATAGCAGGGCTAAGACATACCTTAAGAAGCAGG